ACCTAACCATGCGTGGAGGAAGTTCGGAGGGGCAGGGGCGGTTGGGGGGGGGGACACTTTCGTGTGACTTAGGAGCCTTTTTGGAGTCCTTGGAGGGGGTGCTGGAGAACGCTCCTGGCTGGGACTCCCTCGTGGGACTTCGACGCTCGCGTGGGTGATGGCAGTGCAGACTATTTTCCGTTCAGCTAAAGTTATCAGCAATAGGTATTCACACTAGCACTTCCGGCAAAAATGCTAGTGTGAATGCCTCTTGCTGATAACTTGCAGAGGGATTGAACTGTTTCGTTCAATTGCTTATTGCTCCGCGTTCCCCCGTGGAGCAATAAGCAAAATACCTCCAAAATGCGCACCGTCGGACCTCCGCCGGAGGTGGTTTTAGCCCTCCTCCCCGGGGCAGGAACATCAGATCCCAGTCGAGTTTTAAAGCACTGGTTCTGCCCTATAAGCTGATACTTGAATGGAATCTCTGTGACGTTGTCCCGCGGAGCTATAAGCAAATTACACACGACTTAGTGCATTTTACGCACATTTTTGGGAGGGAATTTCAACCGTCGTTTGCTTCTCCCGCAGGCTCTGAGGATCGGATTCGGGAAAGTGAGATGACTTTGGAAACCTACGGTCCTCCTCTACAAACTGGAGGTGATTGCAAGTTCCTGGAACGTTCCCCCCGCAGAGCTATTAACCAACGACCGGCCGAAAAAGGCGCTTTGGCGGGCGATATAGTACTCAATTTACTCCGGAGCTTCCAGCGCCAACTCTGAGCGTCGGATCCRGGCGGGAGATGGCTCATTTTAATGTTCTGAATCTCCGCTACAACCTGGAGGTGGTTTTAAGTTCCCACTCGGAGAAATAAGTTATGAAAAGTCGTCGGGCGAGCTCCGGCGGGTGAAACGGATGATGTGTGTCCCATCAGTGTTTGAATGTGATTGGCACTGATTAGTCTCCATAGCTGATTGTAGATGTTAGCTGTGTAGAGCCGTAGTGGAGTGCTGTGTGAATGAGTAAATGAGGACACAGATTGTGATGTGAAGTGCTTGGAGTGTCCTGTTTGGATAGAAAAGTACTGTACAAGTACAGTCCATTTACCATTATTCAGCTTATCAGCAAAAACAGTTCTACATGCTAAACGTCTGTTCATTAAGTTCAATTAATATTCCGGTCAAACAAAGTATTATTCTTCAATCACCAGCATTTCCCACAGATTTTCAAACATCTCCATGTTCTCGTTAATGTCTTCAAACGGTGCATCACCAGCCATGGAAGGATGGAATTCATTGTTTGTCATATTTCCTTCATTGATGTTGTCACCTTCACTTCCCATGTTCTGAGCTATCATTTCTATTTCCACTATGTAGTCAACTGGCCCCAGCATTTCCCACATTTGTTCCCACATCTCTTCAGACAGMGGGCTTTCACTAACCATGTCCTCATCATCGATGGTGTCACCTTCATTTTCCATGTTCTGAATTAACATTTCTATTTCCTCTGTGTTTTCAGGCCAATCGTAACGGTTAAAAATGTGACTCGGTGTAAGAYAAAAAGAAAGAAGGCCCAAGTGTCTGACAAAAATCATTTTAACTAGTTGTAAGTTTCAATGAAAATGTGAATGCCTCTTGCTATAACTTTAGCTGAAGAAAAGCTAAGAAACAAACCGATGATGTCACTGATTATGTCACAGCTGAACATTCTGTTGCCATGGAGACCGTATATTTTAAGAAACAAACTAATGATGTCACTGATTATGTCACATCTGAACATTCTGTTGCCATGGAGACCGTATATTTTAAGAAACAAACTGATGATGTCACTTATGTGACTGATGATCATCATANAAAAGCCTGAATTTTGCCTGAAACTCTCAGACTGAAGAAGTCTCTTGGCGGAGAGACAAAACGTTTCATTAGAGAAGAACCCRTCCAGAAGACCTACACAATTTTTTCTTTTTAAACAGCTGAGAAGATTACAAGTGTTCACAGGTGTGAATGGAATGATCTGGAGAAAGGTAAAAAACTGAGGTGAAGGCTTAATGGCACGAAGAGGAAACAAGAGGGAGACTGCAGACAAGACGGAAGACAGATCCTCACACACATCAGTTTTCTGAATTATTTTTGCWGAATTTCAGTGAATAAACATGATTTCTATGGCACATTTTACAAACACAAATATCACAGAGATCCAAAAAATCAAAAACAATAAAAACAGTGCACATGAATAATCAAGAACATTAAAAAACTGTCAAAGACAACACCCAGATTCCTGAGACAACTTTCCACAGGAGTTAMAACAGCAAGATGCTGCCTGATTAAAGGAATTTTATCATCAGAGCCCATAATAARAGTCACAGTCTTTAAAATATCTTTAAGAACTTCAGTAAATTATAGGAGTTTAAAATGCTTTTTACCAATCATGTACACACCACAGCAGAGACATTATTGATTACATGGACTTCTACATACTGTATATTTGGATAATTCAGTCCACTTTAACTTCTTTAACATTACATTAACTTAACAGAAAACAAAACATTAGGTGTGTTCAGATTTGCACACAAGATTTAAAACACATTTACTAAACCCTCAACATGTAGAGCCACTAGGGAAGTTAAATGCACATTTATCACGTTTACTGGTGGTAGCATGATGTTTTTGTGATTACTGTAATATTACAGCCACACTCAGACTGTTGCACACTGCAGTGCAGGAATAAAGACTGACGTCACTGCAGCAAATTCTTTAATGGAAGAAGCTCATAAACAAAGACATGCAGCGATGAGGGGGGAGTAATCTGAGACATAGCTTGCTTTATAAATTCAAGTTTTTGTTAAATGTTTCATGTTGCAGTGTCTACTTTCACTTTTTAGTGGTGATATTTCTATTTTTTAAACAGTGGTTAAAAAGGGGAACTGAGTTCTGATTTAATCAGAGATATGAAAATAAAATGATCATTTTATTGTATCTTTCTGAACTAAACATCACCAAGCAGCAGTTTGGATTGACGTGTCCACAGCCCACATGAATTTAACAGACCAGTGTGTAACGCTGCAGTACTCAATTACAGTAATTGCCAAACATGACCATTAATTACCTTTATCTAATAACTTGTCTTTTGGCAACATGAGCCATCTTTGTTCTAACTCTCGTCTCTTTCTCCGCCCCAACACTCCTGCAGCTTTAATTCGGTCTCTGCAGAAAGAAAAGCATCACCGTTAAAGCTGACACCTATGACATAAAACAAAGACTTTTTTTAATTTCCAAAAATACCATTTTTGAGTTTTTGTCATGTGTGGGCAGTAAAACTGGATGTGAGTCAGCGAACAAGGGATATCACCCAGGAAACCACACAGCTCTGATTAATCTGGACGACTTGTGTAGCTCGCCACTCCCTGGCAACAAATCTTTAAGGGAAGTAATTACCTTCGTCTGTCCTCAGCGCTGCAGAAACCTTTAAAAAGATGTCACGATTACTATCCCTGCTGTTGATAATCAGAATGAACGCCGTGGCTAAGTTTCTCCCTAACACAGTTGTTTCCAATTGTTGCAAATGTCAGACACACACATATTTTATTTATAATATCATAATGCT